CCAACTGAGATAGATTTACTACTGTAGATGAGTCAGATTTGCATTTAAACGGATGGACAAATAATAAATGGTCATGTGAGGAAGTAATTAGAAACAAAGTTGCATAATTATAATATATCCCCCTCTGAAGCTCCCTTTTTAAAAGCTTAACTTTGACAACATTCATCTAAATACCATTAACCCCTCACCCACCGGGGCACTGTCACCCCCTTCCTGCCCCCGGGCACTGTCACCCCCTTCCTGCCCACCGGGCACTGTCACCCCCTTCCTGCCCCCAGGGCACTGTCACCCCCCCCTTCCTGGCCACCGGGCACTTCTACCCCCTTCCTGGCCACCGGGCACTGTCACCCCCTTCCTGCCCCCCAGGGCACTGTCACCCCCTTCCTGGCCACCGGCACTTCTACCCCATTCCTGGCCACCGGGCACTGTCACCCCCTTCCTGCCACCGGGCACTTCTACCCCCTTCCTGCCCACCGGGCACTTCTACCCCCTTCCTGCCACCGGGCACTGTCACCCCCTTCCTGCCCCCAGGGCACTGTCACCCCCTTCCTGCCCCCCAGGGCACTTCTACCCCCTTCCTGCCCCCAGGGCACTTCTACCCCCTTCCTGCCCACCGGGCACTTCTACCCCCTTTCTGCCCACCGGGCACTGTCACCCCCCCCTCCTGACCACCGGGCACTTCTACCCCCTTCCTGGCCCACCGGGCACTGTCTACCCCCTTCCTGCCCCCGGGCACTGTCACCCCCCTTCCTGGCCACCGGGCACTGTCACCCCCTTCCTGGCCACCGGGCACTGTCCCCCCCTTCCTGCCCACCGGGCACTTCTACCCCCTTCCTGGCCACCGGGCACTGTCACCCCCTTCCTGCCCCCAGGGCACTGTCACCCCCCCTTCCTGCCCCCAGGGCACTGTCACCCCCTTCCTGCCCACCGGGCACTTCTACCCCCTTCCTGCCCACCCACTTCTACCCCCTTCCTGCCCACCGGGCACTGTCACCCCCTTCCTGACCACCGGGCACTGTCACCCCCTTCCTGACCACCGGGCACTGTCACCCCCTTCCTGCCCCCAGGGCACTGTCACCCCCTTCCTGCCCCCAGGGCACTGTCACCCCCTTCCTGGCCACCGGGCACTTCTACCCCCTTCCTGCCCACCGGGCACTTCTACCCCCCCTTCCTGCCCACCGGGCACTTCTACCCCCTTCCTGCCCACCGGGCACTTCTACCCCCCTTCCTGCCCACCGGGCACTGTCACCCCCTTCCTGCCCACCGGGCACTTCTACCCCCTTCCTGCCCACCGGGCACTTCTACCCCCTTCCTGCCCCCAGGGCACTGTCACCCCCTTCCTGCCCCCAGGGTACTGTCACCCCCTTCCTGGCCACCGGGCACTTCTACCCCCTTCCTGCCCACCGGGCACTTCTACCCCCTTCCTGCCCACCGGGCACTGTCACCCCCCTTCCTGCCTCCCACGGGCACTGTCACCCCCTTCCTGCCCACCGGGCACTGTCACCCCCTTCCTTCCTGCCTACCGGCACTGTCACCCCCTTCCTGCCTACTGGGCACTTCTACCCCCTTCCTTCCTGCCCACCGGGCACTGTCACCCCCTTCCTGCCCACCGGGCACTGTCGCCCCCTTCCTGCCCACCGGGCACTGTCGCCCCCTTCCTGCCCACCGGGCACTGTCACCCCCTTCCTGCCCACCGGGCACTGTCACCCACCGGGCACTGTCACCCCCCTTCCTTCCTGCCTACCGGCACTGTCACCCCCTTCCTGCCTACCGGGCACTTCTACCCCCTTCCTTCCTGCCTACCGAGCACTGTCACCCCCTTCCTGCCCAGGCCAATTTTCAGCTTTCAGTGCTGTCACACTTTGACAATTGCACAGTCATGCAACACTGTACCCATATGACTTTTTTTTTTTTTTTTTTTCACACCAATAGAGCTTTCTTTTGGGGGGTTTTAATCACCACTGAGTTTTTTATTTTTTGTTAAATAAAACAAAAAACACCTGAAACTTTTGAAAAAAAAAAACGCACTTTTCTTAAAATTTTGCAAATAAATAAAATTTCTTCATAAATTTAGGTCAAAATTTATTCTGCTACATTTCTTTGAAAATAATAATAATGGAATTTTGTTTTCACGTTGCTATTTTTTTTTTTTATTACATTTTTTTTTTTTTTTACTATTTTATTTTTCAGCACACTGTGACCAAAGCAATACAAGTTATCATAGTAACACTGAACTACTCTGGGCAAGTGATCAGGATTATTTATTTTTTTTAACACATTATGATTGCTGATACCGATGTATTTCATTGATATTTGCAATCATTGTTAGTGAATGAAACTGATTCATTCAGTCTTTTGTTGTGATTAGCTGTGATTGGGCAAAGCTGATCACATGATACAGATGGGCTGTGATTGGCCCTGTCTGTATCGTGTGACTGCCTTGACCAGTCACAACTAACAACATAATTATGTACAATGGATGGCATGGCAGGAAGCCGTCCATTGGATACAATTGACGTGTGATCTGCTGTGATTGGTCACGTCACTTCCTGAAAACATCACAACACCCAGCCTCGTTATTCTCCTCAAAATCCCTCGGCTATGATGGAAGTAGTGGGTTGGCTCTTGGGAGGAATTATGCCAATAATAAGATACCTCTATGGGTGGAAGCGTGGGCGTTGCCAAGCAAACTATATTTGTATGCAGACCGGTCACATGTGGCGCTGAACCTCCATGACCGAAATAATTGAATTCCAATAAATGAAAGGGGCGAGGCCAGGGACAGTCATAAAAGGAAGTGTCTAGATGATGCTGGACGTCCTATAGCCGTGAAGTGTGCAGGACTGAAGGGGAGGAGCCGGTAGCCCTGTGCAGGACTGAAGGGGAGGAGCCGGTAGCCCTGTGCAGGACTGAAGGGGAGGAGCCGGTAGCCCTGTGCAGGACGGAAGGGGAGGAGCCGGTAGCCCTGTGCAGGACGGAAGGGGGAGGAGCCGGTAGCCCTGTGCAGGACGGAAGGGGAGGAGCCGGTAGCCCTGTGCAGGACGGAAGGGGAGGAGCCGGTAGCCCTGTGCAGGACGGAAGGGGAGGAGCCGGTAGCCCTGTGCAGGACGGAAGGGGAGGAGCCGGTAGCCCTGTGCAGGACGGAAGGGGAGGAGCCGGTAGCCCTGTGCAGGACGGAAGGGGAGGAGCCGGTAGCCCTGTGCAGGACGGAAGGGGAGGAGCCGGTACCCCTGTGCAGGACTGAAGGGGAGGAGCTGGTACACCTGTGCAAGACTGAAGGGGAGGCCAGAAATTAGTTTTAATTTTAATTGTACTTTCCTATTGGTCATTTATCTTTTTATTTATATTTCGTCTCTATTTTTTTTTTTTTTCATGAATGTATTCCCGTTTCCTTTGTTTCCCCGTTGTCACCGTCCCCATTCCTCTTCCAGGAAAGATCTTGTGGCTGAGAGAAGAGTCTCTGGCAGACGCTGTCACGATGGAAATGGTGGATTTACCTCTCACGGGGGCTCAGGCTGAACTAGAGGGGGAGTTTGGCAAGAAAGCCGGTATGTGGACTGAGGTTGGGGCATAGGGGGGCGATGGGGAGACCTCTCGCTGTCTGCGCTCACATGCTATCATGTTTTAATACTTTTCCTTCTCTTTTCTCTGCTACCTGGATCCAGCCATACAAGGTAACGCTGCGACCAGTCTGCGCTCGCGGAGATTTATATATGTTGGTGTGTATGGGTCAGTTCCTTCCCATCATCAGTCCATGGGTGGGAGGGTTGGAGGAGTCTGGGTGGGGCGGTTGGAGGAGTCTGGGTGGGGCGGTTGGAGGAGTCTGGGTGGGGCGGTTGGAGGAGTGTGTGTTTATATATAAATATATTTTTTCTTCCGTGTGGGTCATAGACACACAGAGGTGGCTCGGGAGCGAACATGCACAAGTGCCCCCAGAACAAGCAGCTTGTATGTATGTATGTATGCCAATATATTTGGGAAAAATATTTTTAAAATATATTTTTCTTCCATGTGGGTGAGACACATGGAGCGCAGCTTGGCCCGCCTCCCGCTCCCTCCTCACTGGATGCAAATGGCTCCCTCTGCTGTGTCTCAGCCAATGAGGAGGGAGAGAACCAGGAGAGCCACCATTCTGGTGCACAATGCTGGATTGAGATCAGTCCCGGGTAAGTATAAGGGGGGAGCTGCACACTGAAGGTTTTTTGCCTTCATGCCTAGAATGCAACCTTCAGCCTTTAGAACCACTTTAGCGTAGAGATGAAGGCCAGTGTGGGTGAGAAGTGTCGGGAGAAGGTCCCAGGTAGAGCATATCTCACTTGTCCTGAAGTAATAGTTTTATAACCGTTAGGCTGTACAGTGTGTTGCTGACTGTTTTTCCTGGATGAGTTGGCAGTTTGGGAAAAGGACGAGCCCCCCCCTTGGCTGACCGGGTGCAAATGCCAAGGGAATGATCCACTACAGAGGTCTGAGAGCAACAGAAGTCTTCACTGGTCTCTTCTCCCATGTTCTAGTTTTCATGGAACCTTCTGTCTTTGAACACCAAGCCTTGTGTGAAGACCCCTTTCTCTTCCCTCTACAGATGGGCTCCTGGGGATGGTGCTGAAGCGTCTCTCCTCGCAGTTGATCTTGCTGCATTCTTGGAGCGCCCACCTGTGGAAGATGTTCTGTGACGCCAGAAAGCCACGTAGCCAGATCCGCAGCGAGGTCAACATTGACACGCTAGCCAGGGATGAGTTCAACCTGCAGAAGATGATGGTCATGGTCACCTCCTCGGGCAAGGTGAGGGGTGGGTGTGTGGAGCCGTTGGTGACTCCGGTTCTGTTCCCTGGGGTTAAATATTTTACCAGAGGAGGAGAATGGGGCTTCTCTATTGCTTTCATTCCAGCACTGGAACACGACTGCTTTCGATGGCACCAACATTTTATCCACATTGGTATTCATTAACCCCTTCGCGCCGAAGACACACAAATATGCGGCCTCACAGAACTGGCCTTTTTTCTGTGGGGCCGCATATTTACATAGCTGTCTTTGTGATGGGAGCGTGCGCGCACCGCACGCTCCCAGCACAAGGTCCGGGGTGTCACTGAGAGCCCCGGGTCCCGATCGTTAGAATCCCAAGATGCCCAATTCCGGGTCACATGATTGCTGTGATAGCCTCTGATTGGCTATCACAGTGATCAGTCACTGTACAGGCCGGCCCCCTTGTTTTTTTTTTTTCTCTATGAATGGAGGATAGAGATGCATTGTATCATTATATACATCCTATTATACATTGTATCATCATATACATCCTATTATACATTGTATCATCATATACATCCTATTATACGTTGTATCATTATATACATCCTATTATACATTGTATCATTATATACATCCCATTATACATTGTATCATTATATACATCCCATTATACATTGTATCATTATATACATCCTATTATACGTTGTATCATTATATACATCCTATTATACATTGTATCATTATATACATCCCATTATACATTGTATCATTATATACATCCCATTATACATTGTATCATTATATACATTGTATCATTATATTCATCCTATTATACATTGTATCAGTATATACATCCTATTATACATTGTGTCATTATATACATTCCATTATACATTGTATCATTATATACATCCTATTATACATTGTATCGTTATATACATTCCATTATACATTGTATCATTATATACATTCTATTATATATTGTATCGTTATATACATCATATTATACATTGTATCATTATATACATTCCATTATACATTGTATTATTATATACATCCTATTATACATTGTATCATTATATACATTCCATTATACATTGTATCATTATATACATTCCATTATACATTGTATCATTATATACATTCCATTATACATTGTATCATTATATACATCCCATTATACATTGTATCATTATATACATCCCATTATACATTGTATCATTATATACATCCCATTATACATTGTATCATTAGATACATCCCATTATACATTGTATCATTATATACATTCTATTATACATTGTATCATTATATACATCCTATTATACATTGTATCATTATATACATTCTATTATACATTGTATCTCTCTAACTTCTGGCATAGAGGGGGAAAAATGTTGGTTTAAAAAAAAGAAAAAAAAAAAAAGATAAATATTAAAAAATAAAGAAAAAAATACCTAGATCAAGGTTTGATTTAGTTCAGTTCTGGGGTAAGTTTGGGTCAAGGTCAAAAGGTCAGGGTCAAAGGTTAGGATTTTTTTTTTTTTTAATTGGTATTAGTGTCGGTGTGTTTTAGGTTTAAAAAAAACAAAACAAAAACTGCGCACTGTTATTTCTGGGCTGTACTAAGGGTACAAATAACACACATATATGGTATCGCTGCGATCATCGAGCTGGAAAATGTATCGTGGGTTGTCCTTTGGTGGTCGGTTATGGTAGTAACAAGAAACACACAGCTAAAGTTAAAAAAAATTTTTTTTTTTTTTTTTTTTTTTTTTAGTATTTTGGGACAGTTTTTTCCTTTTGATGATAAAAAATAAATCAGGAGGTATCCATTACCATTTACCACCAAATAAAAGCCCAATGTGTCCTGAAAGAAACGCAGTATAATCCACCCGGATGTACGAAGTAGTTGTGATGATACGGACGGTTTTACTAACACCGATCAGCGTTGCAAAATTGTGCTTAGGCATTAGGATTTGTTTTGCCCTCAGGCGTGATATTATATATTTGTGAATGGTGTCCAGGACACACAGACGGTGGAGTAGATGACATGCTGTGTGAGCTTTGCTGCTCTAATAGGCCCTTTACTGTCCATCTGCAGATCTTTGGTATTGAAAGCGGCTCAGGCAGCATCTTGTGGAAGTTCTACCTCCCCGGCGTTCGTCCAGGAGCCTCCTTTAAGCTGCTTGTGCAGAGGACAACGGCCCACTTCCCTTACCCCCCTCAGTGCACCCTGCTGGTGAAGGACAAGGTTGGTACTTTTCTAGGACTGTAATCCAGTGTGTATTCTGATGAAATGTGTATTTGAAGATGGAGAATTGTTCCTGTTTTATGTTCCAGGAGACGGAGATGACCTCCCTTTACGTCTTCAACCCAATATTTGGGAAACTAAGCCAGATGGCTCCTCCTCCTCTGCAGCGCCCCATTCTCCAGTCGTTGCTCCTCCCAGTTATGGACCATGACTATGCCAAAGTGCTACTTTTATTGGATGACCAGCACAAGGTGGGGCGGAGCCTGAAAAACTCCTTTTCTCTTACCTGACCTTTGCACTCAATTTTTTGTTACATTGTGTTGATGTTTTGTATATCTATTTCTTCTGCATGTCACCTGATGTTCTTTCTCCATACGAGTCGAGAATTCGGTATGACCCCCGGTTCACATCTATGCGGCGTGGGGGCCACGTTTTGCGCAGGCATTTGAATGGAATCCCGCGCCCCATGACACGCAGGGAAGAAGTCCTTGCAGTTCTTTGGAAACCGCAGCCGAGGTTCCCAGTACAGTTGCGTTTTCCAGTGCGGGCGGCATGCCATTAGAACTAATGGTACCTGCCTGCGGGTCCGTATTCATCTGTGCGGGTGGTGCGGCTGCACAGATTTTCGTGCGGAACCTCAGCGGCACCACCCGCACAGATGTGAACCTAACCTTTAACCCCTTGCCTACCAGGCACTTATACCCCCTTATTTACCAGGCCAATTTTCAGCTTTCAGCGCTGCCGCACTTTGATTGACAATTGCGCGGTCATGCAACATTGTACGCATATGAAATTTTGATCTTTTTTTTTTCTCACAAATAGAGCTTTCTTTTGGTGGTATTTAATCGCCACTGGGCGCTTTACTTTTTGCGCTATAAATAAAAAAATTGCAAAAAATTTGAAGAAAAAAAAAAAAGTTTCTTTGTTTCTATTATAACATTTTTCAAACAGGTATTTTTTCTCCTTCACTGATGTGCGTTGATGAGGCAGCACTGATGGGCACTGATAGGCGGCACTGATGGGCACTGATAGGCAGCACTAAAGGGCACTGATAGGCAGTACTAATGAGGTGGCACGGATAGGCGGCACTGATAGACAGCACTAATGAGGTGTCACGGATAGGCGGCACTAATATGCAGCACTGATGGGCGGCACTGATAGGTGACACTGATGATGGGTACTGATAGACAGCACTGACTGGCATCACTGCTGGGCACTGACTGGCAGCACTGACTGGCACAACCCCTGGGCACTGACTGGTGGCACTGACTGGCAGCACTGCTGGGCTGCACTGGTGGGTGGCACTGGTGGGCAGCACTGGTGGGTGGGCACAGGTGGGTGGCACTGGTGGGCACAGGTGGGTGGGCACAGGTGGGTGGCACTGCTGGGCACAGGTAGGTGGCACTTCTGGGCACAGGTGTGTGACACTGCAGAGTGGCACAGGTGGGTGCACTGCTGGGCACAGGTGGGTGATCTGCTGCTGGGCACAGGTGGGCGGAGAGCTAGTTGGCGCACTGCTGGGCACAGATGGGCGGAACTTGCGGGTGGCACTGCTGGGCACCGATCATCAGGGCACTGATCATCAGTGCCCTGATGATCGGTGCCGATCCCCGCTCTGACAACTGCCGGTTCTCGGCAGTACTTTCCTCACGATCTGACAGCGTGAGGAAAGTGCAGCCGAGAACCGGCACTTGCATTTTCCTCTGATCAGCGTGTCATTGGACACCGCTGATCACGTGGTAAAAGGCCGCTGTGATTGGCCTTTTACCACATCACGTGATCAGCTGTGTCCGTAGGACACAGCGATCACGGAGATCGCCGGGTGCGCGCCCCCTGCAGGAGAGCGCGTTCTGGGAGGACGTCATATGACGTCCACTCAGAACTGGCCAGCCGCAGTGCAGCCGTCATTCGGCTATCTGCGGTCGGCAACTAGTTAATGCACTGTACCTCTCAAACACACCTTCAACCCATTTCAAATGCTCTATATTCCTGGGAGCAGCTGATATGTGCTTTGCCTGGCTTGCCCCTGTCTGAGTCTCTATACAGCGACCCTGAAGAGTGATACCCAGAAACCTGCCCACTGTGTTTGGCAAAAGGGCTCTTGGGAGATGTAGCTATGAGGGCAGTGCTTATGTCAGTAAAAACTGAGCACCCAGCAGCTGCCCCTGCAAGAATTTTACAATCCTGGTGTTGTCACCGGGAGTAATAACAGCCTTTTTTCACCATGGGAAAATAATAATCCAGGAGCATTGCCGAGAAGGGGAGAGGGGGGTTCGGCAGTAATTTTGGGTCACGTCTGGACATACGCTTTAAATATTTGCAGACCGGACTGAGCTGGCTTTTCTTTCTATGATGTGTATCTGCCACGGCATTAATCTAATCCCCCCGTTTCTCCAGGTCATTCCTTTCCCAGCCACAAAGTACGTCCTGCAGCAGTTACAGGAGCTGTCCTCCACCATCTTCTTCTTCCTGGTAGACGGGGACAGAGGGAAGCTGACTGGGCTGCGTCTGCACAAGGTAAAGAGTCGCACAATTCCTGCTTTCTCTATCTGTTTATTGTAATATCCTCCCTGACTGTAGATGTTTCTGCAGGATCTGAGCACAGAGGAGATGTGGGAGCTTGTACTGCCTCCAGAACTGCAGAGGATCACCACTGTGAAGGGAAAACGTTCCAATGAGCACGTCCACTCGCAGGGGAGAGTCATGGGGGACCGAAGCGTCCTGTACAAGGTAAACTTGCGATTTTTGTAGTTCAACTATTGAACTAAGCCCTAATTGTCCACCATTGTCCCCCGAACTACATCACTGACCTAATATCCAAGTACCACCCAACACGCACACTCCGCTCCTCACAAGACCTCCTTCTCTCTAGTTCCCTGGTCTCCTCCTCCCATGCCCGCCTCCAGGACTTCTCCAGGGTGTCACCCATCCTCTGGAACTCCCCACCCCCAACCCATCAGATTATCACCTACTTTCCTCTCCTTTAGGTGCACCCTGAAAACCCATCTCTTCAGGGAAGCCTACCCCACCCCCTGCTAACTTGCCGACCTCCTCCACTCTTCCTACCACTCCATCCCCCACAGCTATCCCCTCCTGTACCACCATCCCCCCTCCTAGATTGTAAGCTCCAAGGAGCAGGGCCCTCGATCCCCTCATGTTTTGCATTGTATTGGTATTGTTCTGTCACATGTTCTGTCCCCCTTTGTAATGTACAGCGCTGAGCGAACTATCGGCGCTTTATAAATACTGTATAATAATAATTGTAAATCATCATCTTTGGCAAATAACAAATCTATACAAATCCTAAGCCTATCAGCTTTTCACAGTGCATCATTTTGCATTCCTCAAGACAGTGAGGTATTTTTTTGTCTGGATAGGGTGATTTATGGGGCTTCTCCATGAGAGGCCGACATTTAACCCGTGGATGAGTGTACCCGTATTACATATCTGTAGCAGGATAGATTGTACTGTCTATTTATTTTTCCATGTCCATTATGGGGCAACTCCATTATGGGGGGCAACTCCATTATGGGGCAACTCCATTATGGGGCAACTCCATTATGGGGCAACTCCATTTCCTTAACAGAGATTATATATTCAAGCTGATCAAACTACAGGGCCTCTTTGTATGCCGTCACTTCATCTAACATGGTATTTGATCTGGTCTGGTGTTCTTAACCATTTGGATGTAAGGTAAATAATTGCAGTGGTATCCAGTCACATTGTTGTGCGCAGCGCATTCCACTTCAATAGGCATTCATTACAGCTGAGCATACATTTTCTATATATTTACCGTATTTTCCGGCGTATAAGACGACCCCCTACTTTTCCTGTTTAAAATATAGGGTTTGGGCTATACTCCCCGTATAACACTACCCCTCTTCCAACGCACACCAAATAAAAATTAAAAAACATCAGATTTGATTTCAATATGGTAGGGTATTTCAGTATGGTATTCCAATGATGGGGCACGATTCCTCCCACTGACACCAATGATGGGGCACGATTCCTCCCACTGACACCAATGATGGGCACGATTCCTCCCACTGACACCAATGATGGGGCACTATTCCTCCCACTGATACCAATGATGGGGCACTATTCCTCCCACTGACTATTCCTCCCACTGACACCAATGATGGGGCACTATTCCTCCCCCTGACACCAATGATGGGGCACTATTCCTCCCACTGACACCATGATGGGGCACTATTCCTCCCACTGACACCAATGATGGGGCACTATTCCTCCCCCTGATACCAATGATGGGGCACTATTCCTCCCCCCACCGACACCAATGATGGGGCACTATTCCTTCCACTGACACTAATGATGGGACACTATTCCTCCCACTGACACCAATGATGAGGCACTATTCCTCCCACTGATACCAATGATGGGGCACTATTCCTCCCCCTGATACCAATGATGGGGCACTATTCCTCCCACTGACACCAATGATGGGGCACTATTCCTCCCCTGATACCAATGATGGGGCACTATTCCTCCCACTGACACCAATGATGGGGCGCTATTCCTCCCACTGACACCAATGATGGGGCACTATTCCTCCCCTGATACCAATGATGGGACACTATTCCTCCCACTGACACCAATGATGGGGCACTATTCCTCCCACTGATACCAATGATGGGCACTATTCCTCCCACTGACACCAATGATGGGGCGCTATTCCTCCCACTGACACCAATGATGGGGCACTATTCATCCCACTGACACCAATGATGGGGCACTATTCCTCCCACTGATACCAATGATGAGGCTATTCCTCCCACTGACACCAATGATGGGGCGCTATTCCTCCCACTGACACCAATGATGGGGCACTATTCCTCCCACTGACACCAATGATGGGGCACTATTCCCCCCCCTGATACCAATGATGGGGCACTATTCCTCCCCCTGATACCAATGATGGGGCACTATTCCTCCCCCTGATACCAATGATGGGGCACTATTCCTCCCACTGACACCAATGATGGGGCACTATTCCTCTCACTGACACCAATGATGGGGCACTATTCCTCCCCCTGACACCAATGATGGGGCACTATTCCTCCCCCTGACACCAATGATGGGGCACTATTCCTCCCCTGACACCAATGATGGGGCACTATTCCTCCCACTGACACCAATGATGGGGCGCTATTCCTCCCACTGACACCAATGATGGGGCACTATTCCTCCCACTGATACCAATGATGAGGCACTATTCCTCCCACTGATACCAATGATGAGGCACTATTCCTCCCACTGACACCAATGATGGTGCACTATTCCTCCCACTGACACCAATGATGGGACACTATTCCTCCTACTGACACCAATGATGGGGCACTATTCCGCCTACTGACACCAATGATGGGGCACTATTCCTCCCACTGACACCAATGATGGGGCACTATTCCTCCTACTGACACCAATGATGGGGCACTATTCCTCCTACTGACACCAATGATGGGGCACTATTCCTCCTACTGACACCAATGATGGGGCACTATGACACCAATGATGGGGCGCTATTCCTCCCACTGACACCAATGACACTTGCTGACCCCTGTTCCAGTATGGTGCTGCTGCAGCCAGCATATGTGGTTGCAGCAGCACCTCTGCACTGCACACTTACCGTCTTTACCCTCACTCGATCTTCGCGGGTCCGCTCGGCTCTGCCTCCTCGCCCGTGATTGGCCGCCTGTGTGCCTTTCTTGAGCTACAGTTCTGGCGGCCAATCACCGGTGAGGAGGCGGAGCCGAGCGGCAGGAGTGAGGGAGTGGCCGGAGTGACGGAAGGAGCAGCGCTTCCTGGATGGATCGTCGTGGGAGCCAGGTAAGAGACTGCAGCCCTCTGCCCACCCCTGTACTTAGTGTGCCTTCCGTCGGAAGGGGGGGGACGGCGGCACCGGCGCGCCGCCCCCCTAAAAAGTGCCACCCTGACGCATACCGGCGTATAAGACGACCCCCGACTTTCGAGAAGATTTTCAAGGGTCAAAAAGTCGTCTTATACGCCGGTAAATAAAGGTTCTATAATTTGCATTCATCAGTTGGCCAGATGGTGCGTAGGGAAACGCTCCCCGGTCCAGTACAGATTTGATTTTTGTAGTTTGCGAACAATGCTGCGCTAGAATCTCACACTATTGTCGTATTGGGCCTCACCTGCCCTCAGTCTATCCATTATGATCCATGTGCTTCTACTATGGGGGCTCTCAAAATTTAGAGTTAGGAACTGCAGAATATCGGGGTGCCGTGAAGAGACTCTGAAGCTTGCGGATGTATTTGCAGATGAGTGCAAACTAAACCCTGTTTTTAATGCAGACTGTTAGGACAATTTAGTTGGTTGCAGGCTGGTCGGTACGTTGAGCTGGGAATTTTTCTCCCATTGTGTGACATGCGTCGCCCTTCCATGTGCTCCTTGCTGTGAAGGCCAGTTATAGATTGGGGCAGTGGCCACTTGTTTGTCATTTTTAATATGTGCAGATCTGCAATGAGTTAAGTCCAAGGAGGTGCATGCCACCTGTAGACTTTTTATTTACATCTGACAGTTTTATGGAGCTTCGGGAGTGCAGCTGTGACTACAGTCTAGGGCAGCAATGGGCAAACTACGGCCCGCGGACCTTTTAATCCGGCCCGCGGAGCATGGCAAACATTGGCTGTCAGGATGTAGGCGGGGCAGCGTGACGAACTCCTCTCCTCTCACAGTCCGCCCTGAAGACCGGAACGGCGCGGGGACACGGCGAGAGGAACGTGCGGAGCAAAGGTAAGTGAATTGACACAATATGGGGGATGAATTACTATATATGGGGAATGAATTACTATATGGGGGATGAATTACTATATGGGGATGAATTACTATGGGGGATGAATTACTATATGGGGGATGAATTAATATGGGGGATGATTACTATATGGGGATGAAATTACTATATGGGGGATGAATTAGGATGAATTAATATGGGGGATGAATTACTATATTGGGGGATGAATTACTATATGGGGGATGAATTACTATATGGGGGATGAATTACTATGGGGGATGAATTACTATGGGGGATGAATTACTATATGGGGGATGAATTACTATATGGGGGAATGAATTACTATGGGGGATGAATTACTATATGGGGGATGAATTACTATGGGGGATGAATTACTATATGGGGGATGAATTACTATATGGGGAATGAATTACTATGGGGGATGAATTACTATATGGGGATGAATTACTATATGGGGATGAATTACTATATGGGGGATGAATTACTATATGGGGGATGATTACTATATGGGGGATGAATTACTATATGGGGATGAATTACTATAGGGGGGATGAATTACTATATGGGGGATGAATTACTATGGGGGGATGAATTACTATAGGGGGGATGAATTACTATAGGGGGGATGAATTACTATAGGGGGGATGAATTACTATGGGGGGATGAATTACTATATGGGGGGATGAATTACTATGGGGGATGAATTACTATGGGGGATGAATTACTATATGGGGGATGAATTACTATATGGGGGGATGAATTACTATGGGGGATGAATTACTATAGGGGGGATGAATTACTATATGGGGGATGAATTACTATAGGGGGATGAATTACTATAGGGGGATGAATTACTATATGGGGGATGAATTACTATGGGGGATGAATTACTATAGGGGGGATGAATTACTATATGGGGGATGAATTACTATATGGGGGATGAATTACTATATGGGGGAATTACTATATGGGGGATGAATTTACTATGGGGGATGAATTACTATATGGGGGATGAATTACTATAGGGGGGATGAATTACTATATGGGGGGATGAATTACTATATGGGGATGAATTACTATAGGGGGGATGAATTACTATAGGGGGGATGAATTACTATAGGGGGGATGAATTACTATGGGGGATGAATTACTATAGGGGGGATGAATTACTATAGGGGGGATGAATTACTATAGGGGGATGAATTACTATATTGGGGATGAATTACTATGGGGATGAATTACTATAGGGGGATGAATTACTATAGGGGGATGAATTACTATAAGGGGGATGAATTACTATATGGGGGATTAATTACTATGGGGGATGAATTACTATATGGGGGATGGCTAGGGGGATGAATTACTATAGGGGGGATGAATTACTATAGGGGGGATGAATTACTATGGGGGATGAATTACTATGCTTACTATGGGGGAATATTACTATATACTTACTATGGATGGCATGGTAGTGGCTGGGCCAACCAGCAGCTAGTCCGGCCCCCGGGTCCAATATATGAACCCATTGCGGCCCTCAAGTCAAAAAGTTTGCCCACCCCTGCTCTATGGGCTCTGACAGGGACTATCTTGCTCTCATACGGCAGCAGCTCTGCCCTCCCCATCACCATTTTTTCTCTTGGTGCCAGGAAAACCTGTCGGAAGTGATTCATACAGATAGCAGAAGAAGGAGACAGCAGACAGAAATGACACTCAGTGCTCTGGACTGAGACAAGTACACACTATAGAGAGATGTGCTTTGTCCATATTTCGTGTCTGAGGTTTACAACCACTTTAGATAACACATTGGACTTTATTTGTAAGCCCGCTGGTATTATCATTGCACCGGCTTTATAAGAATGTTGATGTTTCTTTTTTTCTGTTTAGTACTTGAACCCCAATTTGTTGGCAATGGTGACGGAAAGCGCAGATACTCACCCTGACCGCTGCTTCATAGGAATCTATCTCATTGATGGCGTTACCGGACGCATCATTCACTCCTCCGTGCAGAGGAAAGCCAGAGGCCCCCGTTAACATTGTCCACTCTGAGAACTGGTGGTGGTGAGTCTGGAACTCCTCCTCCTCCTCTCCATCCTGTTCTATCTCCTCCCTCTGCTCCACTCAACCTTTCATTTCTCCCGCAGTACCAGTACTGGAACAGCAAAGCGCGCCGGAACGAGCTGACCGTCTTGGAACTCTACGAAGGAACCGAGCAGTACAACAGCACCAACTTCAGCTCCCTGGATCGGCCGCACCTCCCGCACGTCCTGCAGCAGTCCTACATCTTCCCCTCTGCCATACGGGCATGGAGGCGACCATCACCGAGCGCGGCATTACCAGTCGCCATATCCTCAGTGAGTAGATGCTTCTAGAAATGTGCTTATTGCTTCAAAATAAATTCAGAGAGCGATTGTTAAAACATACAGGCGGACCTCGGTGTACGAACGCCTCGATTTAACGTAATTTTCGTTTTACGAATGAAAATCCATTTGAAAATAACGCCTCGGTTTACTAATTTTTTTCGCAATACGAAGTGTATGTCGGTGCCGATTTTTAAATGCAATTGCCGGCTTTTTATTTTCTTCATTATAGCTCACAGAATTAGCTGTCACTTTCCCCGGAGCTAAAGGAAACTTTGTTTCTTTTATCTCAGGAAACAAACTAATAGGAAACATTGTTTCTTTTATCTCAGGAAACAAACTAAAAGAAAACTTTTTCTTCTATCTCAGGAAACAAATTAAAAGGAAACATTCTTTCTTTTATCTCGAGAAACAAACTAAAAGGAAACAATGTTTCTTTTATCTCGAGAAACAAACTAAAAGGAAACATTTTTCCTTTAACCTGGGGAAACAAACTAAAAGGAAACATTTTTTCTTTTACCTGGGGAAACAAACTAAAAGGATACATTGTTTCTTTTATCTCGGGAAACATTTTCTTTTATCTCGGGAAACAAACTAAAAGGAGACATTGTTTTTTAATCTGGGGAAACAAACTAATAGGAAACATTGTTTCTTTTATCTCAGGAAACAAACTAAAAGAAAACTTTTTCTTCTATCTCAGGAAACAAATTAAAAGGAAACATTCTTTCTTTTTATCTCGAGAAACAAACTAAAAGGAAACAATGTTTCTTTTATCTCGAGAAACAAACTAAAAGGAAACATTTTTTCCTTTAACCTGGGGAAACAAACTAAAAGAAACATTTTTTCTTTTACCTGGGGAAACAAACTAAAAGGATACATTGTTTCTTTTATCTCGGGAAACATTTTCTTTTATCTCGGGAAACAAACTAAAAGGAGACATTGTTTTTTTAATCTGGGGAAACAAACTAAAAGGAAACATTGTTTCTTTTATCTGGGGGGGGGAGTGACAGCTGATTCTCTGAGATATAATAAAGAAAAAAAAAGCCGGTAATTACATTTAAAAACCGGCACTGACCTATAGTGACATCGACTTTTTTTTTTTTTGTTTACACTTTTCTGACCTCCGGAACTGATTCATTGGTTTTCAGTGCATTGCTATGGAAAAGCGCGTTTCGGTTTACAAATTTTTCGCAATACAAAACGTCCCGGAGAACGCATTCTATTTGTAAACTGAGGTACGCCTGTCTATCTGAAGCCAAAACTTTATTTTGGTGTGTAAAAAAAATTTGGTGAAAACCCTTTTTATGTTTCTTATTTTATGTCCCCTTTTGGGAGATGTCTATTCACTTCTTGTTCTAAAGACACAGCAGGAAGTGAAATCTCTCCAAAATTAAAAAAGGAATTCCTCTCTTAGACTGTTGTGACCAGGACAGGGGCCCCCACTGGAAGATTTCACCTCTTTTCCTTTTCTGGTGACAACGATGAAATGTTGGATTTCCCATCACTTTCTGTCACCAGGACTAATAGAGGGGGCTGGCTGTAGTAACATTTTATTTGTGTCCACAGTTGGACTCCCATCTGGAGCGATCTTTTCCCTTCCCAAGGCCTTACTGGACCCCCGCCGGCCTGAGATCCCTACAGAATACACAAGGTCAGACCTGTGGGCGTGGTTTATTAGATTGGTGTACTTGGAGAGACGCTCATTTATATAACTTGTACTTTGCTTTTCTGTCTGGCAGAGAAGAGAATTTAATCCCGTACACGCCCGACATTCAGATTCACGCTGAGCGCTTCATCAATTACAACCAGACCGTGTCCCGGATGAAAGGAGTCTACACGGCCCCATCGGGCCTGGAGTCCACATGCCTGGTGAGCAGAGCACCGCTGTCATCGACCTGTTCCTGCACCTGTCTGTTCACCCAGTCTGACTCTGACTTCCTGTTCATTCACCCAGTCTGACTCTGACTTCCTGTTCATTCACCTAGTCTGACTCTGACTTCCTGTTCATTCACCTAGTCTGACTCTGACTTCCTGTTCATTCACCCAGTCTGACTCTCACTTCCTGTTCATTCACCCAGTCTGACTCTCCCTTCCTGTTCATTCACCCAGTCTGACTCTCCCTTCCTGTTCATTCACCCAGTCTGACTCTCCCTTCCTGTTCATTCACCCAGTCTGACTCTCACTTCCTATTCATTCACCCAGTCTGACTCTCCCTTCCTGTTCATTCACCCAGTCTGACTCTCCCTTCCTGTTCATTCACCCAGTCTGACTCTCCTTTCCTATTCATTCACCCAGTCTGACTCTCCTTTCCTGTTCATTCACCCAGTCTGACTCTCACTTCCTATTCATTCACCCAGTCTGACTCTCCTTTCCTGTTCATTCACCCCAGTCTGACTCTCCTTTCCTGTTCATTCACCCAGTCTGACTCTCCCTTCCTGGTTCTGTGGCTGTTCATTTGGCTGTTCATTCACCCAGTCTGACTCTCACTTCCTATTCATTCACCCAGTCTGACTCTCCTTTCCTGTTCATTCCCTCAGTCTGACTCTTGCTTCCTATTCATTCACCCAGTCTGACTCCCACTTCCTATTCATTCACCCAGTCTGACTCTCCCTTCCTGATTCTGTGGCTGTTCACTCACCCAGTCTGACTGTCACTTCCTATTCATTCACCCATCTGACTCTTTTCTTGTGGCTGTTCACCCAGTCTGACTCTCCCTTTTTCTGTTCATTCACCCAGTCTGACTCTCCTTTTTCTGCGGCTGTTTATTCACCCAGTCTGCCTCTCCCTTCTTGTTCCTGCAGCAGTTAATTCATTCAGTCTGACTCTCCCTTCCTTTTCCTCTTCATTCACCCAGTCTGACTCTCCCTTCCTTTTCCTCTTCATTCACCCAGTCTGACTCTCCCTTCCTTTTCCTCTTCATTCACCCAGTCTGACTCTCCCTTCCTTTTCCTCTTAATTCACCCAGTCTGACTCTCCCTTCCTTTTCTTGTTCATTCATTCAGTCTGACTCTCCCTTCCTTTTCCCTTTTCTTGTTCATTCACCCAGTCTGACTCTCCCTTCCTGTTCATTCACCCAGTCTGACTCTCCCTTTTTCTGTTCATTTACCTAGTCTGACTCTCCTTTCCTTTTTCTTCGGCTGTTTATTCACCCAGTCTGCCTCTCCTTTCTTGTTCCTGCAGCAGTTAATTCATTCAGTCTGACTCTCCCTTCCTTTTCCTCTTCATTCACCCAGTCTGACTCTCCCTTCCTTTTCCTCTTCATTCACCCAGTCTGACTCTCCCTTCCTTTTCTTGTTCATTCATTCAGTCTGACTCTCCCTTCCTTTTCCCTTTTCTTGTTCATTCACCCAGTCTGACTCTCCCTTCCTATTCATTCACCCAATCTGACTCTCCCTTCCTGTTCATTCACCCAGTCTGACTCTCCCTTTTTCTGTTCATTTACCTAGTCTGACTCTCCTTTCCTTTTTCTTCGGCTGTTTATTCACCCAGTCTGACTCTCCCCTTCTTGTTCCTGCAGCAGTTCATTCATTCAGTCTGACTCTCCCTCCCTGTCCATTCGCCCAGTCTGACTCTCCCTTCCTTTTCCCTTTTCTTGTTCATTCATTCAGTCTGACTCTCCCTTCCTGTTCCTGCAGCAGTTCATTCATCCAGCCTGACTCCCTTTTTTCCCTGCAGGTTGTGGCCTACGGACTGGACATCTACCAGACTCGTGTCTACCCCTCCAAGCAGTTTGACGTGCTGAAGGACGACTACGACTACATCCTCATCAGGCGTTCTCATCGGCCTCGTCTTTGCCACCATGATCACCAAAAGACTGGCTCAGGTCAAACTTCTCAACCGCGCTTGGCGATGAGACCGCAGAAACTTCAGTGATCTTCGGAAACTTAAAGGAGCGCTCCGCCCAGCACCAATATTTTCCTTTGTAATCACATGCCGGCTTCCTGTATCTCCTCATCAGCTGCCCCTTCCACCCAACTCCTGAAGTCCTCACAAAGCCCAAACATTAGGACTGAGGTACAAAATATGCCACTGAAAGCGTAGAAAGGTTGTCAAGAAGCCGGCACGTGATTGGTTCTCATGCAGCCCACCCACAATGTCCGATGTTGGTGTTGGGTGGATCCCTCCTTTGCTCCATGTATCCTCTGTGATTGTAGGGGAGGATAGATGAGAGCTCAGCGTCTCGGGAGATACTTGAATGACAGCCTGCTGAGGTGTCCCCTCTAATCTGGCCCAGACTGCACTGGTTTTATTGATCTTTATTGGTTGTGTGAATGATTGGCGTGCGATTGGTACGGTATTTTTTTTTTTTTTTTTTTTTTTAGGCCTGGTACACACGGGCATCGGGTTACTTGTGTATTGCAAAGCTTTAACAAAAACTTCAAAAAAGATTTCATGCAGTTATCTTGAGCATCCCTTCATTTCCTGTCTCGGCACCTTCAAATCGTTCTCAATCTCCGCTCCTCCCAAATCATACTGTCATTGGGCCGCCTCTCACTTTCTCTGCCAACAATTATTTGTGCTCTTCATAATGTGACGACATGATCTTTAGAGCTGGCAGCAGTCGCTGTACTGCTGGTCATGAGCATTATATGAAAGAACGCACCCTTGGCATCCCTTTAGATGTGCATCCCTGCTAGCCACTGACTACTTCAGACTTTAGCTGTGCAATCTGCTGATCAGTTGCTTGATTACATTCTAATAGACGGTATTCTATGCGTACATTACACTATCTTTAAACACATCTAAATGTGAGCGCTGCCTGACATCTTCTGCTTACAAACGTCAGTAGCAGTAATTCAAACTCGTTAATGTTGATGCTTGCAGCCGCTTAATTGAAGTGACAGTCAGAACTCCCATTATATGTGTTTAATGGAAGCAGAAGATTGCTTTAAGGCACAGGTATCAAACACAAGGCCCGCAGGCCGAATCTGGCCCTCCAGGTCATTTCATGTGGCCCTTTGCAATGCAGTCTGACACCCCCCTGCTGTAATGGCTTAAATATAGCTTTTGATGCTGCCCCTGCCAATGGCTTTGTGTACATTCGCTGCATACACCGCACTTTAAAGGGGCTTATTCACAAGGGCAGCCGAGGCAATAACAAGTGAGTGAGCTGCGGTTTAATACCCCCCCCCCCCCACCCCCTGGCCACAAGGTAAAGGCTAACATCATCTTTTTGCACCGTGTTTACGTTACCTCCCGTATTCAGGATGAAACACGGTGCAAATGTGATTGTCATGCAGGTGGTCTTCTTTCCCCTCCTTCACTTTTGAAATCAGTGAGGCTGTGGGGAGCTCCGCCCATGTTACCGCATCGCGTTCGCAGATATCCGTGAATGAAGGAACTACAAGTCCTGACTGCCGCTGTGGCGTTCGACTCGTTGGGTGTTCAATGAAACACGAGTGCCATTGGAAGTGATCCCATCTGCAGCTTGAAAGCCTGACCCAGGGGTGGACGACATCGTACATGGGGCCCCCCGGGCAATTGGGGATCATTGGGCCCCTGTGTCCTCAGATACCACACTCAAACCACACCCACAAAAAAGCCAAAATATAAAAGGTACACCCAGGGGCATTTCATGGGGCCCCCCCTACCGACCACCCGGGCCCTCGGACAGTGCTCGAATGGTCACTCTGGCCTTGGCCTGTACCTCTGTATAGGAGGAGAGCTGGAGGATCCTGCCATTGCACATCACTCCCTGGTCACCCAAATCGTGGGTGCAATACTCTGCAGGCTCATGAGAAATAAACATTTATAAAATGGGCATTTCATGGGGCCCCCCCCTAACAGACCCCGGGTCCTCGGGCAGTGCTCAAGCGATGGTCAAGTCCTGGCCTTGGCCTGTGGTTTGTGACCAGTGGGTGTAACAGGAAGGAGAGCGTCTGGAGCATCCTGCCATTGCACTCATGGTCACTAATCGAGTGGGGTGCAATACTCTGCAGGCTCATGAGAAATAAACATCTTATAAAATGGGCATTTTCATCGGGGCCCACCTACAGACCCCGGTGCCCTCGGAGCCACGTGCTCAAACATGGTCAGTCTGGCCTTAGGCCTGTACCTCTGAACAGGAGGAGACGCTGGGAGGATCCTGCCATTCGCACTCATGGACACGTTAATATCGTGGGTTGCTATACTCTGCAGGCTCATCTGAGAAATAAACAATTAATAAGATGGGCATTTCATGGGGCCCCCTACAGACCCCCTGGACCCCTGCGGGCAGTGCACGGAATGGTTCAGATCTGCGCCATGGCCTATAACTGTAAACCCTCGTAACAGAGAGGAGAGCTGGAGGATCCTGCCATTGCACTCATGTCCACATAATCGTAGTGTGCAATTCTCTGCAGGCTCATTGAGAAATAAACAATTTATAAATTGAGTCATTTCCATGGGGTACCCCCCTACCAGCACCCCGTGGCCACTCGTCTCAGCAGTGCTCGAATGAGTAAGTCTGGCGCCTAGGCCCATGTACCCTCTGATTACAGCGAGGAGAGCTGGTAGGATCCTGCCATTGCACTCATGGTCACTAATCGTGGGCTGCAATTATCTCTGCCAGTCCTCATGAGAAATAAACATTATATAAATGGGCATAATTTTAACCATGCAAAATCTATAAATAAAAATTTAAAAAAAAAACAAATAACAAAATATAAATATAGCTACACACGTGGGCGGACTGAGAACTCATGGGGCCCCCGTGGCAATAGGGGATCATGGGGCCCCTTTGTCCATTGCCCAAACTCCAAAAAGCCTATGAAAAAGTATCAGGGTCATCTCGATGGGGGGGCCCCCTACTGACCCCAATAGGGCCCCTGGGCAGTAGCTGCCCGAGTTTCCAAATGGTCAGAACTCCGCCCCTGTATGTTGTGTGTATATCTCAGGTGAGGGTGCGGCGTGCCAGCAGGCGAGGGGTCTTCTGTAGAGATTTGGTGGTAGTGACATCATCACTGGGGAGGTGACAGGAGCTCCACGACGTCTGCAGCGGTCCCTGATCTCGGTGTGGAATCCCACGAGAACAGAATTGATTTGAGCGCGTTCTGGAAATGACGCAGTCGCCACTGCCTTGAGGTTTTAGTTTTGTTCATCATCCCATTCAGCATTTTACCTCTTCACCGATCCGCGAGGAAGACGCCCCCTCACTCCCTCCGCCGTATGAATTTGTGAAAAGGATGTTCTGTATTCAAAGTTTCAGTGAAAATTTCCCCTTAATTTAAGTAGTTTGAGATTTTTTTTTTTTTGGTTAAAGTGGAACTCACGGCTCCGTAGCCTGCGCACCACAAACCTGACCACAACGACCATTAATTCATCCATCCATTCGATGTCTTATTTTGTTGAGAAATCACTTTGAAAAACACCCTCACTCTAGCATTTGATCTAAGCCACCATCAATTGAGTAAGGGCAGGATAATTCTTATGGAGCAAATTTAAATTCCTGGAACAATCATCAATAGCCCTTAGCTCGAGAGCAGGACTCATGTGCCTTAGCTGAGAAAACCCCCTCCTCCCATGCGAAGACTCCTAGGGATGTAAGACATCATGTTAGCCTAGGTGCCAGAAACCAGGAAGTAACTGACTAAATGTTCTGAAGACACTACGTGTCCCCTCCCCCCTCTCTTACTCTACGACACATTGAACTGTCTCCCCTCCCCCACCCCCCTCCCCACTCTATTCTCTACACACCATGACAGTGTCTCCTCCCCCCCTCTTCTCTACACACAAAAGTTTCCACCTCCCCCCCTTCTCCCAACACAACAATGACGAGCTCCCCTCTCCCCCCCCCCCCCCCACGTGCTTCTCTACACACGATGACCGTGTCCCCTCCCCCCCTTCTTCTCTCTACACACATGATCTGTCCCCTCCCCCGCCCTCTTCTCCTACACACATGACGTGTCCCCCTCACCACCCACTCTTCTCTACACACAGGACGTGTCCCCGCCCCCCCCTTCGCATAACACACAGACGTTCCAACTGCCCCCCCCATTCGCTACACACAGACGTTTTCCCTCCCCTACCTACTACACACATGACATGTCGCCCAACCACCATCTCTACACACGAACATGTCTCCTCCTCCCTCCGCTCTTCTCCTACAACACGTACGTGTCCCCTCACCCCCCTATTCTGTACACACGACTTGTTCCCCCCCCCCCATTCTGTGTACACACAATGACATCTCCCTATTCTTACACACATCCATGTCCCCATCCAGACCCCTCATCTCATGTTAGCCTAGGCCAGAAAACCAGGAAGTAAACTGAAGAGAATGGTAAAACTACAACACATACAAAGTATAAAAGTCCCCCCCTCTTCTCTACACCATGAATGTCTCCTCCCCCCCCCCCCCCCCACTCTTCGGCTAAACGGGAGGGACGTGCAGACTCCCCCCCTCTTCCTACACACAGTTTATGTGTCCCCCTTCCCCCTCATCTTCTCTAGAACACACGATTCAAGTTCCCCCTCCCCCCCTCCGGTCTCACATCACATGACGTGTCCCCTCCCCCCCCTTCTCTGCACACTGGAACAGTCCCCTATAACCCTCCCCCTCTTCTCTACACACATACGTGTCCCCGTTCCCCCCCCTTCGCTACAACACAGGACGTGTCCCGCCTTCCCCCACTTCCGCTCAGCAAATACATAAGTTTTTCCCCTCCGATCCTCTACACACATTGGAACAGAGGTGTCCCCCCCCCTCCCTCCACTCTAACATGACATGTCTCCTCCCTACCGCTCTTCTCTACACACGTGTAGTGTCCCCTCCCCACCCAAGACTGTACACACAGACTGAGTCCCCCCGTCCCAACCCCCCGCTATATCTGTACACACATGGCATATCCCCTGTTCTGAACACACCATAGCCAA